TGTAGAACATGCTGTCGCGGATGCCTTAGTCAGGCAGGCTTAGTGAGCCATGAGCGAGGCCACTCGGGACTACTACCGAAGCGACGCCGGGTCCTGCAGAGAACGTAGACAGAACCAGCGCAGCGTCTGTAGGTACGTTGCATTCGATTTATTAACCGCGTGCTTGCATGCTAAGTCACTTTATTTCAGGTGGTGGGTTTTCAGTTTTGTCCTAATGCCTTTATTTCTCATATAAATGTTTGGGGAGCCATAAAGCGGGGCCACTCGGGACCACTACAGATGCGACGACGGGTTCTGCAGAGAAGGTAGACAGGACCTGCGCAGCGTCTGTAGGTACGTTGCATTCGATTTACTAACCGCGTGCTTGCATGCCGTCTCCTTTTTTCAGGTGGTGGGTTTTCAATTTTGCCCTAATGCCTTTCTCATATAAATGTCTACTTGTACTCTATTCCATTAACTTGCATACCTCGCTTAAGCCAATTGTATTCGATTTCCATAACATTTTGGTGTTCGTGGCATTTCCGTAAAGTATACTTTCTGACCTGGTGAACTTATCTAGGATTCGTTTGTAAACAACTTATTTCATATGCTCACTTATTTAGGATTTATGTCACCATTTCCTTATGCATTAATCGCGTTATTTTCTTTGTATCTCTCTCTCAAGTGCTTTGGCTGTTGCTTGGTATCCCCCATGTGGCTGCGCTTGATGTGTATGTTGACAAGGTGTCTACTTGTCTATTACCCACTACCTCGTCCATACTGGCTCCAGGAGACAGTTGGTCGTTGCTGGAGGGGACTGGGTGCACGGTCTTTGTGGCCGTGCTAGGATCAAAGAGTGGTTCCATGCACTCAGTGTGGAGCGGACTACGGTCCAGCCACCGCATTGTGTGCACTTGATTCCCCATATACAGCGTGCTTGTGTTTGCTGTGAAGAAGTGTGGGCCGGTTCCGTTGATGAAACATGGCTCCCATCCGCATGCCTTACGATGTTATTGCTTCGGGTTTACACTGGATATGAGGTGTGTGGTTGGAGCTGCGGGTGGTGCAGCTCAAGCCACCCATGGTCCATCTGTAGGCGCAGGCGTACTGTGGCTTGCCACAGTGACAGGCAAATCCGAAACCAGATGCCGCCAACCATATGGGAAAGAAAAGCATTAGAACAACATTGAAAACCTATCACCTGAAATAAAGAGACTTAGCATGTAAGCACGCAGTTAATAAATCGAATGCAACGTACCTACAAACGCTGCGCCGGTTCTGCCTACGTTCTCTGCAGGACCCGGCGTTGCTTCGGTAGTAGTCCCGAGTGGCCTCGCTCATAGGTCACTAGGCCTGCCTGACTCAGGCATCCGCGACCGCATATGCTACAGCACCATGCGCCCGATCTCCATGGAGTACAACCCATCGGTGGTTGCCGCTTCTTCTCTGCATGTATGAGGTCTTTCTCCCGCACTTCGACGACCGCCTTCGTGATTAGATCGCGCCATGCACGCCGATCAACCGCCTTCGATTCCCATAACCTGCAATCAAGATTTGAACGTGATAGGCTCAGTTTGATCATGTCCTGGTAACGTAACTTTGGTTTCCCCACATGCCGCTTCCCAGTACTCAGCTGACCGTATAAGAGTTGTTTCGGTATCCTTATTGAATCCATACGGCTCGCATGACCGCGCCACCTCAGGTGTCTCAGTAAAAGTATGCAGCCCACTGCATACATTCCACTATATATATATATATATATATATATATATATATATATATATATATGCCTCATGCTGATGTTGATTTCGCATACATTGCATACATTGATGTCTCCAGGAGGCTGTAAATCGTTGATGGGCTACGGGGTGCACGATCCTTATTGTCATGCTGGGCTCAAAGAATGGTTCCATCCAGTGTGGAGCGGACTACGTCCCAGCCACCGCCTTGTGGACGTCTAGTATGCATGGCTCTGAGATTACGCCTACAGTAATGCTGCTGTTGTCCATGTTGGGATGTGGGCTGATTCCTTTGAAGAAATGTAGCTCCCATCCACCTGCCTCCCGGCCTTATTACTTTGGGTTTACACTGGATATGGGCTTTGTAGATGGAGCTGTAAGTGATGCAGCGCAAGCCATCCATGGTCCCTCTGTAGACGCAAGCGTCCTATAAAAGTCACAGTGTCAGGCAAATCTGAGTGAGTCTAGATGTGACGGATTTCTACCTATACCAATTCCGGAACCGGATGCTGCCAACCATGCATATTGTGAATCCTGACAAATGCCGGGAACACTGTGTGCATGAAACACACTGCGCAGACGAGTCCGAGTTGTGCTTAGACACTTTGCGTCGATCACAGCCTTCAAGCGCTTTACAGATTATGATACACAACAACGCTTCTTTGATTTGGTATACAGTTTACAACTTGGAGTACAAGCTCAGCAACTTTCTTTTTACGTTTCCACGTTAGACCTTCCATGCAAAGAAAGATCGTTTCGACAACTCCGTGCAATAGGAACAATCCCGACAAGTAACTGAGTAAAGATCATCGTGATCTTGTTGCTTCATGCTCTGGTTCACATGTTAGTAATGAGAGTGAACATAGCAACATTTCACATTGTTTCTCCGCCATATTGAACTTTGTTGAGCTTATAAGAAATCAGCTTCTGTCGAGGTTACAGGTGGAAATGCAGATGCGCCTGCTACAAGTTGAAGTAAAGCTGGCCAATTTTAGGGTAAAAATAGTAGGTCGGGTCAATTGTGCTAGCACGTTGATACCTTTACACCTTTAAAAGGAATCGGCGTGCAGCCAACATTTCTACCGAGTGCGAATGGCTGTGCTCGAGACGTACAGTTACAGCTCGTTATCAAATAATTTATCTTCTACTGACTCTACAAACGGTTGGGTAAATGTACTTTGCTGACAGCCATTCTGCTTCTTGGAAATTTGCTAAACAGTTTGAATACCTTTTCGAAAGCCTTATGTTTGACAGTGGGCATCGGATACTTAGTTGTTGTATTCTCGCTCTAATCGCGCCAAAGACGCCACCTGCCAATGCGTGATATTCCCACGTGCCAGGGCTTAAGTTAGAGCAACGGACTTTCGGAAATCCGCATTTACCTCGGACAGAAGACGATGGGATCAGTTCATGCCTAAGCAGTCGCATTCTTACACTGTGCGACCTCCATCAGCTGCAAGCCCGACTTCACATATAGTTGACTGCATCTAAAATACACACTAACGATAAGACCTCTGTTTCACTACATCTTTTGCCTTCATATCATCCCACTATATTGACGACTTTTTTCTCCCTCTTCCTATACCTTTCTCTATATATTCCTGTGTCCACTTATCTTAAGGCTTTCACTTAGGTTCATGTCTAAGCTCTTAGTAACCATTAGCAGTGCTTCTTGGGTACCTATCCTTGCGCGTGCGTTTGCTTATAACTTGACGCATATGACTGTTATTCTTACCTCCAGTCTCAATCCATACACCTTTGTAGTATTATTGTCCGTAAAGGTTTATGTTTTCCATTCAGTTCATGGTAGTTCATACCCAATCGTGAACAAATGCGTGAGTGTACGTGATTATGCGGGATTCGCACTGCCATTGTGCAGTTGCCAAGCTCGAGGCTGATGAAGCATATGATGTGCTTTGTCGGGCTGAACTCGACTGACTGTCGGACATGCGTTTGACACAAAACCTGTCGTGTGATATGCAATGCCTGGCTGCGCTTGATGTTAATGTTGGCAAGGTGCCTATTTGTCTATTACCCTTCCCCTCGATTATACTGGCTTCAAGAAACTGAATTGTTGCTGGGGACACGGGGTGTACGGTCCTCGCCGCCGTGTTAGGCTCAATGTGTGGTTTCATGCATTCCGTGTGTAGCGGCCTATGGCCAAGCCACTGCATTGTATACGTCTGGTACGCATGATTACGAGGTTACACCTACAGTAACGCTGCTGTTGTGCATGTTAAAGGAGTGTTGGCGGACTCCGTTTGATGAAAGATGTCTCCCATCCACTTGCCTCCTGGTCTTATTCCTTCGGGTTTACACTGGATATGGGGTGTGTAGATAGAGCTGTGGGTGATGCAGCGCAAGCCACCCGTAGTCCTTCTGTATGTATGGTGTACCATTTCCTACTCTAATATATTTATCTTGCCACTGCGCATATAGGGAAGTTAATTATTATGTTAATGCTTCTTTGGTCCATCTTCTACCCTTCAGTCACATGTTCACTACTTGCTTTCGCACTCGAATGTCTAATAAACAGCTATTTGTGCTGAGCCCGACAAGAACAACGTTTTCCGTTCATCATTGTCAGTTGATATTTTCACACTAACTTTGCTTGCCAAGTCTTTCTCATCGGTTCTGCTCATATGCACATCCCGATTCGAATCACAAGTTTTTGACCCACTTATTTAGGGAAACTGTTCTGATACTCAGCTGGCGACTGTTTAAATGCTACTCATTCTCCTGACTAGTATTTACGAGCAAGTGGTATCTTTCTCCTGCATACTGTTGTACTTTATTTACCGAAAACCATGCGCACATTCCTTATGTCACAGTCGGATCAGTTCCTTTTTCACGCTAGAATTTTGTTTTTTCGGCTCCCATCAACTCATGTATCACATCTACTTCGCCAGACTGTCGTACACAGGAATCTATAATTTATACGCCCTCGATTCCCTCACATTTCCCTTTATTTTTTATCTCTGCGTCTATTCTTTCTGTTTGCTAATTCAGTAGCAGTGGTATCGTAAGGTTGACCTGGCGTTTCCACAAATGACATGCCCCACTATGCATACCAATTCCTCGCCTGTTTCCTTTATCACTCGCGTCTGCTTGCAGTGTGTTTAAATACTGTCCGGGCATTTTACTACTTTCAATAATTCGCAGCTTGAGAACTTCCACCTGACACTACTGACCATACTTTCACTTTGCCCTCCGGTTTCAGCCAACTTTTCGGGTGTCTCCCCTTCATTATGGCCTTCAAAGTCATCAGTTCATTTTTAACCCATGTCGGTAGGTTGTTATGTTTCTCTCACTTCAGAAGGACCGAATTCTGAGTTCATGTGGGCCCGCTTAATCTATAGTGCTCTGCGTGCACCATTATATCATCTGTATTTTGAGTTGCTGTTAATTTTTGGCATCATATGGCTGTTGTTCAAACGGAGATATCGGATCAATGACTTAGTCCAACTAACCAGCGCAGAGAAAAGACAATTAGTTGATGAATGGACACCCGTTGGTTTAGTGCCGGAAGATTGGCATCCTCCGCAAAATCTACTTCGACAGTTTCATCGTTGCGCCACTAGCGCAATCACAAAGTGAGTTATCTGATTCCATTCTTTCAAGCTTGTGACAACGTTATCTTTGCGATAGCATTTTACTCCTACAGCTAACTTCATCGTTGTTGCTCTGTAGCATTGATTAATGTATTCGAGAATATAGCAAGGAGACTGTTGTGGATGTGTTTCCTCCGTTGTATGTGAAAAACGATTGGATTTTCGCTGTGACCACTCTGGATATGTGACATTGTGCCATCCACGGTTGGACTATATGACCATCGTGGAATGTGTTCCGTTACATCTGGCACACAAAGGGATGCTTTTCGTCAATTTTCGCATGTAGCGCTTGATACCTCTTGATCACAAACCAAAGAATGGATATTGATATAGAAAACCGAGTTGGTCTCGTTCCTTGAGTGGATCGTGACGAGCTAACAGTAGTTTTCTGGGGACCGTGGACTCGTTTTCGGACAACACGGCGATCTGCCTTTGGTGACAAAACCAAGCTCCGTGGGCATGTTCACGCTTTGGCTTTCGCCTTTCATATTGCTATGCAGTCACACCTGGCCTTCAAGTGAATTAACCCCCTTCAATAGTTTCACTGGCCCGTGGACCGAAGTTTCATCATGCTCATCTGACACCTATCACGAACCTTGGTTAAACTAGGAACTCCTTACCAGTATGTCTGTAGCCGTTGCTGTCAAGCACTTTCCGCTTGGCTTCCTAAACAAGGATTTCAGTTTCTTTTTATTTTCTCCATTCAGAAATGATTTCATATATCCCATATTAAACAGGATGCCAATTCTTAGTGAGTGGTAGGAGGATTTGCTGTATTTTCGAGAGAATTCGTCAAAGTCACACTGGATCGGACAACCACCACACATCAAAGAAAGCGTTATAGACGACCATTTGGTCTTAATGGGGCTAATTGGTAACACACATGCCCAAACTTGCCAGCGTCGAACACCTGACCTTACTCTTTCAAGCAAGCAACTTATGCCACTGCGCCATAGGTGACTGCGGTGGGCCGCCGTGACTGGTGTCTAACTGCAATGTAGCACGCTTCATCCTTCATTGGCATGTATATTATGAACGTACAGAGGACAGAGCTGACCACAGAGCTGCGACTTCTTTTTGAAAACAACAAATCCCCCTACCATTCACAGATAATCTGTAATCAGCTTATTAGCCTACATGCCACCTCGCTTTGTGACGGCTTGTAAAGGAATCTCTGTAGGTCCAGCCCTGCCATCCACATGTTCGTACCGCATGATAATTAAGGATGTGCCGCAGTCCGCTGCTGTTTTCATTGATGCTAGTTGCGCTATGGTCTACACCATTGATTGGAGACTCTGTCAGACATGACACAGTTGCACGGTCTGTAGAGCCCCAGAATTCGGCTTCTTTTCTCTTGCTGTAAATATTCATTCCATCCTGACTCGTTTTGCACATTTCCTTCTTGGTTCCGTATTTTGCATATCTTTGGTCCAACTTCATTCTTGATTGTTGTTATTAATTGTTGTTCTGGCTTCGCGACTAGTGGCAACTACATCCTCCACACTTGGGTGTCCGGATCTTAGTTTTAAAGTCCAAAAGTATTTTGAATTTTTGCACCAGATGGATTGTCGCTTGTTTGTGGTTCTGTTATCCTATTCGCACCTTTCCGCCTTTTGAGCTAACAGCATGCTTTTCGTGTTTTAGACCGTCACATGCTCAAACGAGCATCGTTTTACATTCGCTTCATTTGCATGTACTTTTTTTAATCTCACGCTTACATCAGTCAGCTATTCACATTAGGATTGCGGTTATCTGTTTCTGTCCGCCGACCTCGCTTTGCAAACCTAGTCATGAGTCCTATCGTGTACATCATTCACAGGAATATATTACAAAATTTTCTGTCCCAACCGTTTCCTGCCTATACCGTGCATGTAGTCTAGGTTCATAGCCCGAATTAGCAACACTTATGTACGGTTCGTGCGACGTAATTCAATTTACAGTAGTTGTTAAACTGAACTGATTTCCTAGAGCTACATCTCATGGCAACTGCACGGCGAAAGCACCACACACACACTCACTATACACGTTAGCTAGAGGTGAGAAACACCTCAGCTACTGTGCCTCAATACCTAAAAGGAGAAAGGGAATTAAGTGCAACAGGTGCAAGCCAGCTGAGCTACCGGTAACAAATGGGCATCTTTCCGGCAAGCCACCTGCCGGCTGCTATGCAGCAGAAAAAAATAATTTACTATACGAAATTATAAAATGCTTAATAATGAGATCGTGATTGAAAGGGGAGGCTAAGAGGGATGGGGTGGGACAAAGAAACTCACAGCACGAACGCCATTGGGGTCGGCTCCTATCCATATCAACAAGCGTATCCAGCCAAACGTGTTCATCGTCTTTCGGACCCCAACCAGGGAGCCGAGACGCTCCAACTGAGGCCAGCTTCGAAATGAGGGTCTTAATTCCTCTCGACCAAGTCATTGCTTGGCCACCGCATCTCTTCTTCCATCCACACCCTCGGGGCGCAAACAACACACGTCGCGGGAATCGGTGGGCTGGCATGCGTAACAAGTGGCTGAGCCATCGGAGCCTGGTGCGTGAAATAACAGTGCTGAGCGGTTCATTTCCTTTTCCTGTACCGTAAACAAGGCGTCGAACACGCTCGTTACTCACGCGGTGTTCCCACCAGATGTGAGCTAAATTGCTAAGGCACCGGCAGTCGAACGTAACTAGCCAGGTTTCACGACCGTACAGTAAGTTCGAACGTACCGCTGCACTGTACACGCTATCCTTCAGGGTGAGATTAATATCACGGCGGTGCCATCAGTGGCAAAGGTTAGCAAAAGCGCCCCGAGCTTTTGATATACGGTTCGTGATCTCATGTTCAATCCCACAGGCCCTGATACAACTTCCCAGGTAGTTGAATTTTTGAAGGACTTCCAGCTGATGGTCACCAAGGGTCAGCGAAGGAGGCGGTCCAGACCAATCTTGGAGGAATGCTTTGCGCTTCGATGGTGCAACGCGAAGCCCGAAACGGCTGACAGCCAGTGCTAGTCTGTGTAGTGCCACTTGGCACGTCTGGAAGGTGTCACAGATTAGGGCAATATCGTCAGCATACTCCAAATCAAAAAGTCATTCTCCTGGGAGCAGATCCACAGTTTCTAAGTCATGTCCTGTGAACGCGATTTCCATGACTTCGTCAGTAGCGAAGTTGAAGAGGAAAGGTGACAGGGGGCATCCTTGTCTCACACCGCTGGAGATGTTAAAGGGCGACGACAACTTGCCGTAAGCCCTCACACTGCACGTGCTACGCGCGTATAATGCTCGGATAATATTTACATATTTCCCAAGTACACCTTTCCTGAGTTGACGTATGATCAAGTCTGTTGCTGCTGTTAGGAGGAGAACACTTTCTAAGGAATGGATCAGTGAATAGTACACGGACCACCTTCCAACCCTTTTCTAGCAAATAAGTTGAATGACCGTATTGCTTCATCATCATTGGTAATAAAGAATAGAAGCAAACAGCGAACCTATCGGCAGTCTGTTCTATGTAATTTATCGTGCGTCTGGCACGCATTACACTGGTACCTGTAACCTCGTCTTCTTGATCGGTTAATAAACGTGGTCAAGCTTTTTTAGAACTCAACTTATCAGATCGGCCCGACGTGACTTTAGTGATCATAACAGCTACACTTAAATGCCTAGTATCCTATACCGGTTTATGAATAAGTAAATTGGAATGGCCGCTTGTTGTTTCACCTTAATCATCTATCCCGGTTGAGGTTATATATTAGTTCGTACTCTAACCCATCTTTCACCCTGACTGAATGTTACCTGTTTGATGCCCAAGTCTGCCCCCGATTCAATAGCTGTTAATCCCACTGAAGTACCGTTCAATGTTCCACACGTTTACATACTCAAATAGGCTTTCCACTGTCAGCTTCGAGCCACTTGACGAGCTTGCGCAGAGCATCAGACATTTCCAGTGACGAGTCATCGTCCCATCACCCGGCCACTTGCTTTACGACGCCTCAGTGCCGCTGCTGCTGCCACTGGATTGCAAGAGTTAACCGTCCTCATTTTCAAGGCACTACCACTGGAAGTGCCGTTGAAATCATACAAAATGGGGTTGTTGGATTAGTCTAGGGTGTTTCCGTTGTGGCTCTTGTACATTGGCCTGTATCCAGCTTCTGCTCTCCTCTAGTGTGCCACGCAGACATCTAACTAATGTGGGTCTCGACACCCAATCCAACATATTTAGTGATGCTACTTTCAGCATGATTCTTTACTCAGAGGCCACAGCATAAGAATGGGACACGGTTTCGAGACGCCTATCATCGGGCCACGGGTTGCTACCCGAGCGACGGTAGCACGGCTAAGTCACGCGGGAAGCTGATGAAATCAGACCGTCAGCTTGCTACGTGATAGGGCGCAAGCTGGTTTGGACTCTGTCCAGGGCGTTGCTTGAGTCAGTTCAGGAACTTACAACAGGAGATGATAGATTGTGACCTATAAAATGAACCGTGTTCTGTGCCTAATGCACTTCGGTCTAGCAGGTTCCGGTGTTCCCTTATGTCCCCGGTTGGGTTGGCAGTGGCAGAGAGCAGAGGGAAAGCAACGTTACAACGCTCTTCATATGTATAACAGAGCGAAGTTGTTTTCTTGAAGCTCCAAGTGGCTACATAATTGCTCCTCTGAAATTGCCACTGAGAGCGTTGCCAACCGATAGATGGGAGGACTACCTCAGCAACTCCAACCGGAGGTCGCATTCACACGTCAATGGCTCCAACTTGACTGCTCGCTCGCGTCGACAACTCCAAGCTGATCTCGATTGTGCATAGTAAAGAATGACATTTCGCTCATTTAAGAGAGATTTTTATCACGGCCCGGACTTCTGTTTTATGAAGGATCACTCGACATGACAACGGAATGGATGACACATGGACACGCCAGACCCCACTCACTTTTGATAACTACTCATCGATTCATTTGCAGACTATTCTGCAGATGACATAAAGCATTCAGCTGCATAA